AAGTTTCCAAGTAAACCGAGAAAGCAAGCAGGAAGGAAACCTACCGAGAAGCCGCCGATAATCACCATCTGATCCCCGACCATGACGGCAGATGGTTGCTCCATGGTTGCAGGACCTTGACCCGTTGGGTCTATGGCCTGTGGCAGGCCGTTGGCAGACAGGTTGAAGTACTCGATAAGCGGCAATTCGCGGCCAATCAAGATGATGTAGCGGTTGCCAGATGGCGCAGCGTACGACACGATTGCACCAAATGCGCGGAATTGCAGCAGCGCGTGCGGATACTGTTGTCAAGAAAATACAGGTCTATTCAGAGCTAGGTCTTGACGGCCACTGCAAGTGCAAAAGGACATCAAGTTGGACACATACCCTGGTCCAAGACGGTTGTTGGATGTTGAAGAGCCAAATGTCCGTGTACTTTGTCGCGTTCATGTCACCTCCGGCGACAATCAAGTGAGTCGAGTTGACTCGAGCGAGCTGAGAATCCGCTCGAGGAGCCGGGGCAGAGTTGTTGTTAAACAAAACAGTGCTGAAAGCGCCGGACTGTAGTCGACATTGTCAGACATTGACCGCGGTCTGGGCGGAACAATCTATGCGAAGATCAACAGCAGTATAGTGACATAAACGTACCCGGTCAAGAACCTTGAGCTGGTTAAAAAACGGGGTTGGAAACTGTCTGCCTCCGAACGCATGTGCATTGCCAAACAAACCCTCGGCCGTTGTGGTGGCATACTGAGACGCAGGACCGTACGGCAATCCGTCCGTGTTTCTGCCGCCGTTCACGGAAACACGAATGCTGGGCTGCTGAGCACCGCCATTGGTGTTGGTAATAGAGTAGGTCCATGCCGTGACCCCATTCAAAAACGAGCCGACCTGAAACGGGACAGACGGCGTGATGCCGCCCGCGACAATGATATCGAACGAGTCGCCGATTGCATTCTTGACAACCAACGGCACCAAGCGTGAGGTGGGGATTGGTACGGAGGGAATGGTTGTGATGGGGGGCGAGTCGACCGAAAAGGGGGCCGTCAGGTTGATGTAGCCGGCCGTGGTGATGATTGGTGTACGCTCGTCCCACCCGCCAAAGAAGAAGAGCGCATTGAGCTCGGCAATGTAGGCGGTCGCAACGTCCTTGACGGAGGACGCCTGAGCCGGACTTGCAGAGTGGAGCAGCAGCAGCAGCACACATGCGCCGAGTCGCAGCACGGTAAGTGTGTTGGAGTACATGGCGATGTCACGATCAGTTACTTACAAGCTTTCATGCCGGCCACTGCGTGGCCGGGCGCTGAAGGGAGCTTTCAAACAGAACAACTTGAGGCATTATATTGATGAGCAAAGTACACCATGGATATTGAAGACGGGAAGTCACAGTAATGAAGCATTCAAAAGCAATGTTCGGTGTATCGGTGTATCGATTAGTTGTTCGAGGTAACAGTTGTGGGGGATTCTTGGTCGGTGGGGTCTTCCAACTATACCTGGCATGCTTGATGGCGTCATGATTGCCATCATCCTCGCCTTGGCGCTTAAGCTCGTTGTGTGGGCATCAGGCAATGGAATGAAGCGAAACGTCGAGAGAGCCATCAGCCCCTGGCACACTTTCTGAACGTGAGAAAAAGGCGTCATCATTTGAAGACCTGAACCCTTTGTCGTGAGAGGGAGCGCTGAGCTTAGAGCGGATCGGTTGCGCCAAAGTCGAGCCCAGAGGTTGTATGAAGACGGATGAGATGTATGCTTGAACTGAGAACATTCAACCAGGACCGTTGACCACCGTCGGCAGCTCTTCGAGCCGCCTCGAGCTTCTCCTGTCCCAGGTTGGGTGGTGATGCCCTGCGGGCAGTTCCTGCCAGATCGTGAGCCCATGATGTTTGCGACTGTGTTGCTTGTGTGCCAGGCTGGAGCTTGACACATATGCCACAGAGCAACGGTCATGTATTGAGCAGTCCGACAAAGCACAACTGCATTTGAGGATGTGAACAAAGATATAGAGAAACAATGTTGAATGTATCCAAGAAAACGGCTTGAGATAGGGCGAGGCTAATGGTGGGAAATGGGCAAAAGGTGGGAGCTGGCTGTCATGAAATGCACGGAAAATATGAGAAGCAATGAGGAGCAGAACCAGTTGAGAGCGGACATCGTGCACTTCCACGTCACAGTCAGCCCAGGCACAGCAAGCAACACCAGACCAATGAGCCACTACCATGAACGTGATTTGTCTGAGCTGTTTGCGATGGAACAGAACAGAGGGAAAACATCTGGATGTATCATAGCGAGTGCAAGACTTGGCCGGAGAGCAGATCTGCGAATTCGCTGCCGTGTACCTGCAGGAGTAGACGGTGAGCATTATGTTGCCTGTGGTCCGAGAGCGAGAGTGGCAGGATTAGAGTCGGCAGAAGCCAATCATAGGTGAGTCGGTTGCGATAGACGGTGAGGGAAGCTGAGAAAGCGGAATCGGCGTCTCCAACATGTGTGATTATGAGCAAGGCTGCCGTTTGTGAATGGGCGGGGTCAGCAACGCGATGGACTGTCTTGAATGCCGTGGTTGGAGGAGAGCGAGGAATCCAGTGAGCGGAATTGTGAGTTGCATGATTGCATTGACGGAAACGGAGCAACGGCACTGGACGCATCATGAGATGAAATTGAACCGGGACAGAAGCAGCAATGGGATACGCGTCCGCAAGTTGGAAAACACTTGCTGGGTGACATGTTGCTGCAGGAGATGTCATTGGTGGTTCCGGGTCGAGTGTCATTCGAGGCCGGTGCCCGAGAAGAGTGCCATTGGGATTGATCGAGCTGCTGCTGCCGGTGATGTTCTTGTGGTGGCGAGGAAAGGGAGATGGGCGTATGCTTGAGGAACAGCACGCAGGCAACGACGTGGAGTGGCTATGGGCCACCAAGGTCATGAGTCGTTGTCGCCGTAGATAGCAAATGATGGGCATATACGGTGACGCAGAATGAAATGCGGCAGACGGGAAGAACGTGTTGTGGTTGGATGACATGACATGTCGTGCGGCTGGAGAAAAGAAAGACGCCAAGTACGTGTGATGTGGCCGTGGGCGATGGGCAGATGGAGTGCCGGTGAAGCATCCAACGCGAAGTGCAATGAGGGGACATTCAACGGGAGCAGCAGGCACGTTGTAATCGTGGGTGGGGAAAACTGGTTGTGGCCGAAATTGTGCTGGGATTGAGAATGCGACGCGCACTGCAGAATTGAGTTTGAGCGCCGCCAATCCACAACAGAGAGAAGAACTTGGCGGGGCGAGGCGGGTCGGCACTCATTGAGGCTAAATTGGGGAGTTGCGTGCGAATGAAATAGAACCAGCAAGCAGAGTCAATTGCTGGTGGTGACGGCGGCCTTGACGGCATGGCGGAATCCGGACGATGGAACGATGAACCGTTGCATTCGGCCATGAGACGAATGGCTGCGGTAAACAGAAGCGGACGAAAGGTCCGAGGCGGGAAACCATGGATCAAGGTGCTGCCACGAGGTAAATGAGTTGCGCACGTCGTTTGTCAGTTGATTCTTGTCGAACGAAGCGCGGCGGGTGCAAAGGCCATGCAGTGCTGGGATAGCATGCGGTGCGGCTGGTGAAGCATCCAATGAGAAGTGCGAAGAGGTCATTCAACGGCAACAGGAAAGTATCGTGTATTGACGGTGGGGACACTGGTCGTGGTGACAGGGTGCTGGGGATTGAATGTGACCAACACTGCAGAGTGCAGGTTGAGAGCCGTCAATCGACAACCAAGGGGAGAATTTGGCGGTTCGCCACACGTTGAAGGCATATCGGGGGGATTGCGTGCGAATGAAAGAGAAACAGCGATGAGAGTATATTGTTGGCAGTCAGTGCGGCATTGACAACGTGGCATGATGCTGGCATTGGAGTAATCAACCATTGCAATTGGCGATAGGATGAATGTCACCGTAAAGACAGAAGCGGGTAGCAGTTCCCAGGCGGTGAAGCCATGGATCTGCCGCCGCGAGGCCAATGATTCGTGAGCACGGTTTGCCGGTTTACTGTGTTGTGTGAGAATGCGCGTGGTTTGCAGGTTGACTGTGTCATGTGAGAAGTTACCGCGGTCTGAAAATCGAGGATTTGGAGCTGCTGCGGATGGTGCCAATGAAGTAGTAAGCCGGCGGGTAAAGGAGTGTCCACGTTGTACGTTGTGGGTGGGTCAAGTTGGTGGGGAGTCACATTAGAGGAGGACGTTGGTAATCATGGAGGAGTGGAGAATCCATTCAATTGTTGCTGGCGCTGTGCTCAGTAAAGACCCGGAGGGCAAGGGCATGCAATGAGAGGTGGCGCGATCGGCAGTGTGATTGGCGGTCATTCATGGTTTGATTTGAAAGGTTGAGCGGTTTTAAATTGTGCATGCATTAGAGGTGATGGAAAAGAAGAGCAGGAAGAAACCACTGATGAGGAGCCGAGTGCAGAGTCTGGGAGTGAAGGATGAAGGATGGAAGTGCGAGAAAGAGAAAGGGAGAGGAGTGGATCGGAGCAGACGGAGGATGGAAGCGAGGTGGAAAAGATCGGCGTGTGGTGAGCGTGTTGGATCGGCAGACTGTGTTCAGAGCGTTGGCTTGAGTGGCTTGAAGCAGATCTTGAGGTGTTTCAGGTACGTTTCAGGAGAAGGCCTAATGTCTTTGGACTGACGCGGCTGCGAAGTCGCTACTCGAGACATGATGGCCAGTATTTACAAGAGCGCTCTGGCGAAAGCAACAAACGTTATCACGTTGGGGATTCGTCAAGCAGGCAACAAACCCAGAATTGTGAGCGATGCTACATACACGATTCGGATCATCAACAGCCAGTGTCCGGTGTCCGGCCCGCGGCTTGGACGGCTCACCATGGCCGGCAGGCCAACGTTAGGGCGGATATCCTCAGCCAAGGGCGACCCTTCAGGACGAAGACGAGCTCCTTTCATCAAGCAAAAGCGCCAGGGCTAATCCCTCACGGCCAGTTATCGGTTATGTATAAGGTCGTTAATGAGGCGTTCCAATAACAAGAGCCTCTTTAGCACAGTGGTAGTGCGTCGGTCTTGTAAACCGAAGGTCCCGAGTTCAATCCTCGGAGGAGGCAGCTGTATCCTTTTCAAGAGGCTTGGTTTTTCATCTCGCGGTCCCCCCGCATGCAGGTGGAAACATTTTGGCAGGCCACAAACGACCCAGTCAGCATGAATCGAGGCTTGCTCAACGTTGAGCTGGCGTCTTGATCGATAAGCCGGCCACTCAACATCGGCGGCCTCACTACCAGACGCCCAATTCATGTCGAACCCGAAACCTCTTCTTTTCCCAGAGCCATTCTCTTGCCAATGCCTTGTTCATTCATGCAAAACCTGCACACATACCGCACTGAGCGCTCTGTCCCGTCCGAGTCCTTGGTCGCTGCTGCTGCTGTATCTGTCGCCCTGCCCTTGCTCGTTCCAAGATTGCTCGCTGCTGCAAGTGTTTCCCGCAGGACCTTCATGTGCGTCTTCAGAGCCTCTCTGCTCTCTACATAGCTCTGCTCTCCACATTGTGCGATTCCCACACTGCACCGACCATGCCGGGCCTGGGCCTGGGTGGACCATTCATCCCGCATCCGGGTGACATCCAGGCCATCAGTTTGGCCGGTTAATTTCCCATCGATGGACCGCCTGAAATGGACAGCCGATCCGTACCGGCAAAGGTCGCCTGTGGGCGTTCTCTTCTATCAGCACGAGCTCAGCTCTTTTTGCCAGTCACACAAACATCCAGCGCTATGGAGACGAGTGAATGAATGACTGCTCACGGCCGATTACCCCTTCATGCTCGCCCCCTCTTCATCCCGCCATCAATAGACCCAATACCCTGCCTCAAGGCCACGATTTATTACTGGTTCCCTTTCGCCGTCAAGTTTGATTCTTAGACCCGTCAACCTACATTCCACTCGTGTTCGCTTGTCACCGTCACCGCAATCATCATCATGTCTGCCGCCACTCTGACGACACCCGTCACCATTGCCGACCGCGACGTCCCTCGTCTTCTTGACGAGCGTGCCCAGCGTGCCGCTAAGCTCAAGCAGTCACAGCCGCCCAGACACCAGCACCGCGACTCTGCAACGGGCCAGGACCTCCCGCCTCTTTCCTCTGGCGGCGTTGCCGACGATTCCGATGTCGCCGATGCCAAGCGTGCATATGGCGACGGCTTGCCCCGCTTGCCCGTCCCCGCCGGCCCGCAAATGAACTGGCTCGACCCCTATGTCGTTTGGTCGTTGCGCGACCCTCGGGATACAGTCTTTGTCAAGACCACCTTGTGGCTGTCGCTGGGCGTGCTTTCGTCGCTGTACCTTGTGCTCGTCCGGTTCACTTGGTGGCATTTCGCCCTACACGCCGCGTGGGTCGGCAAGCACGCAACAACCTATGTGCTCATGCTGCATTGCGTGTGCCATCGGCCTTTGTACAAGGCCAAGTACCACGCGCTCAACTGGATCGCTCCCTACGCTCTTGGCCCGTTCTACGGCCACACGTGGGACACGTTCTACTTCCATCACATCAAGCACCACCACATTGAAGACAATGGCCCGCATGACCTCTCGTCAACGCTGCGCTACCAACGCGACTCTGCCCTGCACTTTTTCATCTACTTTTCGCGCTTCTTCCTCTTCACGCTCATTGAGCTTCCGCGCTACTTTTTGCAAAAGGGCTGGTACGCGACCGCCGTGCGTGTCGTGTTCATGGAAGCCGCCACCTGGTCTCTGTTTGCCTCGCTCGCCTACATTGGCCGCAACTACACGTCGTCACAACCCGAGCTAGTCAATTTTGCCGCCACCCTGACCCTGGCCGTGCCCGTGGCACTCATGCGGTTTGGTATGATGTCTGGCAACTGGGCCCAGCACGCGTTTGTGGACCGGTCGCGACCCGACTGCGACTATGTGCAGTCGCTCACGTGCATCAACAACCCGTACAACGACCTGGCGTTCAACGACGGGTACCACACGAGCCATCACTTGAACCCGCGTAGGCACTGGGCCGATCATCCAGGCAACCTTGTGGCGTGTGCCGACGATTACGCAAAGCATGGCACGCTTGTGTTCACGGGCATTGATTTCCACGTCACTTGGTTCTATTTGATGACCAAAAACTACAAGGCCTTGGCGCAAGCATATGTGCACTTGGACAATGACAAGCCGAGGCCAAGTGACGAGGAGATTATGGCCATGCTCAAGAGTCGCACCAAGCAGATGACGCAAGAGGAGGTGGATGCGTACTACTCGCAGACAAAGACAAAGTTGGCGGCCAGGAAGACGCAGTGATGGTCTTGTGTGTTGCGTCGGTGCTCATTGTGTCTCGCCTTCTCTTTTTTTTTTTTACCTGCAATCTGTCGTTTGACCTTGGCACTCACTTTTTTCATGCGGCAGTTGACTCGACCCCATTGTGATGATTGCTCAACTTGAAATTTCCCCGATCCTTGTCTTATCCTTTCGTCCTTTCCCGGCATCAGCCTTTCTCCCTCCCCCTTTCTCCGTTGGTTTTTGCCATTTTGTCGTTCTCTATTGTTTTCACTCTTATTGTCACCGTTTGCCACTATACTAAATACGACAGCCTTTTTTACCAGAACTTTGCTGCGCCAGATCCGCTCCTTGTGCGCGAGTGTTCGGCAGCATTGTCATACCGCTCCCGTAGCATGTATTCATAGAATCAGCCAGGCTCAATGGGTTATTCATGCAAACTCGGCCCCAGGTGGCAGCGTCAATCCAGACGGCCGTCGACCAGCCGCACTTGGGCTTTGGCGGCGACAATCTTGATTTGCCCTTATGAAAATTTACAACAAGAACCCAATTTGAGTGGCAACTGAACCAAGTTCACTTAATTGACCACTCGATAAATACTGCAGAAGTCTCCATGACCTATTAATTTAATGTACCAAAGTTGTTCACAACGAAAATTGTACCTTGGCCCTCTTGTTGCTCTCAAACTCGGCACTCTGCTCATTGCCGGACTTGATCACACTTCGAGGCGTCGCCCAACAAAGCCAGAGCAGCGCGATCACTGCAACTACATACGACGCTCGGCTCCCCCCTGAGCCCCAGCTCTGCCACCTTGATACTCAAATGTGCCTCGATCGATTGCACCGGAACTTCGCAACGGTACAAGAACCACACGGCGTTGCGCTGTGCGCAGATCATCAAGATATGGCCCTCGCGTATCTACATACGGTGGTTGCATCATGCATGGCGCTGGTGCACGCCTGCTTCTTGATTGAATCCACCTCCCTTGCCACAGTGCTTTGTCGATCGGAGGGCCATTGCCAATCCCCATACCAAACTCGCGAAGTCAGTCAGGTTGCACATACTTTCCGGGCGTTTGGCCTTCGGAAATGCCTTGAGGAAAGTGTTTGAGGAAGCATCATGCTCGAGGGAAGGTTGCAACCGTCTGCATATTAACGTCAAGCCGAAACTGTCGTTTCCCCGAGCAGTCACTATTTCGCGAAGAAACTTGTGAATTCCCACGCCCATCCTGTGACCGAGTCGGAGACATTAATAATGTATGTTCAACGAGCTTCGCCTCAGTCTGACGCTGTCAGAGACGGGCCGGACAGGATGCCAGCGCCTCATTCCTCGGTGTCGCCCCAGTGAGAACAGCGCGATGGTCATTATGCAGTCGACTGAGCTCTGAGAGACGATCGATCCAGGGAAGTCTTTCCTTCCTCAGCACTCGTGAGTTTGATGGAAGTATGCTCCGATCGATCAGTTCGGGACTTGGCCGTTGAAATGGTTAACATTCACATCAAGGAGTGGGCGGAGCGGATCCCAATCGCCTTTTCGGTCCGTTCAGTCAGTGGAAGCTGTGATGACGTATGGTTGAGTCCAGTCTCCGTGAAAAGCCAACACATTCTATGCAACCAAACCAATGAGTATCTCGTTTGGCCGCAACACGGGCCAGCCGTGGGGAATGTCATGGCCTTGTCTGCACATGACGTACTGTCATGACAGGCCCATCGATCAAAATCCTGTCTTGCGCTCATTAAAAGTTGGCCGTAGCGTCAGTGGATCAGGAGCAAAGAACGCGATCGCGAGGTGACGCGAGCGCAGCGAACATCCTCTCTCCCGTGCCGAAGTCTGGGCGGCGATGGTTGCTCTCGTCGATGACCGGAAAGCAAAAGAAAAGTGGTGGGCGACACCCGGCGAGCTCTCCCCTCAAAGAAGCCCCAATCCGCAGCGTTCGGTGGTTCCTAGCGCTGCTTTAGTCTATCTCGTCCCTATTTTGAGAGAAAGAGAAGGAAGGGCTTGTCCAGCTTGCAACCAAAAAGCAGTGCCAGCCCGCCTGCCCGGCGTTGCTGCTGCACCATTCCCACTCTTTTTTTTCACTGTGTCATTGCTGTAACAAACCTTGGGAAAACGGGCGAAATCTACTTAATTTCCTCGATTCCCGTCACCATCATACACAATACACAAGGCACCCGCTACACCTCGCTGTCCCATCATTCAGCGCCACTATGGAGAAGCTGGATCGCGTCCGATCTCCTCCTCGGCTGGGTCCTCCAGTCATCCTCATTCTGTTGATGTTCATGATGGCGCTCTTGTCCACACCAATCACACCGACAAACGGGCAATCGCCAGCCTCATCGGCATCATGCCGCACCTGCTCTCGCCGGTCCGAGGTGAAAGTGGCCATGGTGTCGCATGGTACAAAACGAGGCCCCGAGCTCATCATCATTCTTGCGCGATGCGATGCTTACGACTCGTTGACCATGTATATCCATCCTAGGAAACTGGTTCACCGAATCGTTTTGGGTTAGTGCACGCAAGGGGATCGAGCGTGCCAATGCACTTTTCAACGTGTCTGCTGTCCCAATGAACCCGGATGTGTTTGATTTTGCTGCCATTGCGAATCTGGTAAACAAGGCAGCCGAAAACTACTCGCTTTTGGGGTCGACCGTGGGTACGCGAATGAGCTCTGCCTCAATCTGTATTGGCAATTGAGACGCGGCCCAAGCACAGCACTTAACTTGACGAGTTTCGTAGTTGATGGAGTGACCATTGGAGCGGCACTGCGCTCGGCCGTTGATAAGGGCAAATCCGTCATTTCGTTTAATTCTGGCGACAGTGTCCTAAATAAC